ATCTCCCAAGACTATTGCCCTCTATCAAGCCAATTGAAGAACTAAAAGTTTAAACAATAGATTCCCATATACAGATATGAAATTTTTTCTATCCTCATTAACAATTTAGATGCTTAATCCTCAAATCTCTTAAACAAAAAAAATAGAATTACTGCTGCTAAAAGTAGCTTTATTTAGTTACTATATTATATTAATTATCTGCTTTAATATTTAAATAATGTTCTATTAAAAGAATGTTTTCAAATAATCATAGAGATTCTTTCGGTCTATTCAAAATCTTAAAAGAAGATATAATAGATGGAGAAGGCGGAATTTAAACTCTATGCTTTATCATAAAACGAAATCCTTCATATAACTCGCCTTTAAAATTATGCTTAGATAATTAATTATTTATTGTTATTTAAGTTACTCTTGAATTATTACATACTAGCATAAAACTTAAATAATTTTCTTTACTTAAAAAATTAAAGCTAATTCTTCTAATCCATTCTTTTGATTTTATAACTACAGTTTGATTGGCAAAATGTAATAGATCTTTCATCAATTCCATTTTGGATTAAACTAATATCCTCTTGGAGTCCTCAATTCTTTAATGAATTATCTGTATTTACGCAGTCTATTAGTCAAATAGTTAAAACTTTCTTTTTTAAATGAATCTTATATATATGTTACAGCTTGATTTAAGATGTTCAATTGTACATTTTCATCCTATCTATTTTTGAAAAAATAAAAAGACACCTGGCTTAGCTTTGTCATTTCAATCTTCATTGGATACCTTCAATTATTATTTAATAAATTTTAAATAATTCAATCTAATTATGCTAACTCTTTGGAATGTTTCTATCACTGTATGATGATATTCTATAAATTTTAAAATATATAACTCTTTTTAGTATAAGATTAATTTAATTATATTAAATAATTTCAAAAATTTGCTTTTAATTATGAAATCAAAGCCTTAGGCTAGGGAATTTTAATCCAGAATTATATTAAAAGTTATATAGAATATGATACATTATAAGAAAATGGATTGATCACATGTAGAAACATATATTTAGGAATTGAAATGTTAATAAAATTTTGGTGTTAGTGAAAATTACCAAAAAAATACTTCTTGGCGTTTTCTGATTATGATTCACACGTTGGTGTATAAATTAATGAATTATAAATTATATTACTATGATCATATCATCATGCACCTTCCTCTAAAAATTTAACAAAATTTCATGTTGTGCTCCATCCTATTTCAAATTGTTTATAGCTGTCTATCCTTATAGATATTTTTGGGAATCCAATTCCGTTTAGTTGAAACTTTT